TCTAAGGTTCTAGCAATTAATAACAGGCCAAAATCAATCTGAGAGTTTTCCAATGTAAGGGAGGCAGAGGACCCTATTTCTCAGCCAACTCCATGGGCCAGGTGCTGCTGCCATGGACCTGGGGCCCAGACTGGAGACAGGGAGAGTTCCAGACTGCCTAGTCAGCTCTGCTGTCCCTCCTGCTCCTGTTTCGTACAATCTTTGAGCAGACCATTCACTCCAATGAAGACCTCCACTCCCCCTGTAACACAGGGGTCCAGGCCTTGTCAGGTAGGAACCTCTGTTCTCAATTATTCCCCACCCATCTGAACAGGAATACCATGAGGGTGACTAACTGGCATTCAACTGGGCTTGTTTCTATTGAGTGTCTCCTCCAAGGAGGGGTGTGGAATGTGGCACTTAGGTCACTGCTGGGGGACAGAGCTGCAAGAGGGCAGAACATTCAAATCCAACAAGCATTTCTATACGTCAAGGCTGCTGTGGGGGACAGCACTCTCACAGGCTGTCCCTTGCTCACCAGGCTCCTTCTGCCTGTCTTCTCCACGACATGGCCCTTGGTGGCACCTGCTTCCTTTCTTTCTCCCGTGGTCCATTTTCCACAGGGCAGCCAGCAGAACAGCCTTGCCTTCCAAAGGCTTGCCTGCCTCTTCACCTGTGTCCCCTAGAATAGTCACTCTCACTGCTGTGCTCCTCACAACCTACCATATATTTTCCTTTTCCCTAAAAATCCTCAATCCTCCCTCTCTGGTCTTTGCTCTGGGTCTTCCTTCTGGAGAGAATGCCAAAGCCAGCCCTTCCCATCCATCCATTCTCAGTTCAGATTCTACTTCCTTAGGAGTACTCCCTGACAATCTTATCCAAAGTAGGCCCCCTCTCCTCACTTTCTCCTTAGTGACACTTACTCAATCCCATGACCCTATTATTCTTTTCCATAGCCTGCTCTCTGACATTCTTACCTATCATTTGCTTGGTCCCATCACCATGTAAATGCCATAAGAACAGGGACTTTGTCGGCCATGTCCATGGCTATCTCCCTGGAGCCCAGTGAAACTATACACTCAAATATTTGTTAAATATTTTGTAATCTGCTTGTCTCTCTTTAAACCAAGGGGTTACAAGCATTGGCCTGGAAGCAAAGCAGACCTGTGGTGACCTTCCCACTTACCAGTTGGGAGAAGCCACAGATTCTCTAGATTTTATTCTTCTTTATAAAAGAATCAAGAGTTCTCTCAATGGCAGCTATCATTAATCTTAGAGTTGCACTTCCCCACCAGGCCAGGACCCCTGATGGCAGGCACTTTATCCATCATTTATCTCTGTATCCATGTGCCTTGAGAGTCAGATCACCTCCTCAGCTTGCTCTACTTCCCCTCTCCCAGGACGTGACACAGTATCCTAAAGAGTCTCTGTATCCGACAACCCTGAGTTCCATTCTGCGGGTACAGGAATATCTACAAAGCTTAGCAAGCTATTGTAAAACACATAGCACAGTGAATAAGACTAGTAGGAGATAATAATAAATAATAATAATAATAATACCAAGTATATCCAAAAATATATTTTGAATTAAATTCTCTCTAGAAGAGATATTTAAAATATATGAATTAGAGAATAGTACTAAGTAGTATATGATCAGGTGCTGAATTACCTATCATCAAGTGATAAAATGTGAGGTGGCCACGCAAGGGACCCAGGTAGGCAAGGAGAGTGGAGAACACATCTCTCAAAGCAACTGTCACTCAGTGCCAGCTCTTTGTGGATCATGGGCCTGATGGGCTCACAGCCTCAGATTTATCAGGTAAAGCTAGAAACCTGAATTCTTTTCATAAGTTCTCTCAAGTTTTCAAATTGCTGACAACACACTTAAAATGTATTAAACAATAACTGAGATGTGCAAAGCATGTTTGGGGAGCCATTTTATAACCTCTGACCTCGGGCTCAAGGTGACTGGATGGAGAGTGAGTCCCAGGTGGTCATTAATATATGAATCTATCAGACCCTGGTTATCAAAAGGCATCATCTCTTCATTTACTCACTGACTATCTTATAAAACCAGAGAGCAATTATTGTTCAGTACTGGAGGCTGAATCCATGTTGTGTGTATATGTGTGGGAGGGGGACTCAGCTACATCTCCACTATCTTCTTATTTTGAGGCAGGGTTTTGCAAAGCTACCCAGGCTGTCTTTGAACTTACTATTCTCCTGTCTCAGCCTCTTGAGTTGCTAGGACTACAGGTGTGCACCACTACTTCTTTCCTCCCAGCCATATCAGGCAGTAATTCTTCTCCATGGCCAAGAATTTCCCTCAACCATCCATCAAACATTTATTGAATAACTGATAAGTGTAGGTGTCTTCCTTCTGAAACTTTATACTGGTCAGTTCTAGAAATTAACAACTACTGTGCACCTGAATAGATAGCCTTGAGAAATTAGGAGAGGCAGCTAGACAACTAGGCCTAGTTACCTCAAGCATTAGATCTGATTCAGAGCTTTGGCAGCAGACTGTCATTCAAGGGTATCCTTCTATGAATTTTCAGATCCTGGTCAACCCACTCAGTGCCACCTGGGGGCAACGTGGCCTACCACATCTGCCATAGCAGAGGTTCCCAGTCTGACAGACATGAGATGATTAGCCCTTGTCTCAGTCTAACTCTTCCCTATAAAATGGGTAGCTACACACACTCAATGGTAGTTAGCAACAGCCCCAGAGCATGTGTTATTTAAAAGCCCAGAGGTGTGTCACCCAGTTACATGTGTCTGAGGCCAGTCTGAAAATATTTCAATTGAATCTGCACATGCAGTACACAGAAGCTTCATTTTGGTCTAGCTTATGCTGTGATCTTAGACTTGCTGAAGGACTAACTTCCATCACAGCTCTGACAATATTGATTGTTCTGGCTTAAAGGTACATAAGTAGATTGATTTTTTTATTCTCTCAAACTAAAAAGGATCACAGTAGTAGTATATTTCTGTTTCCAGGGATTGGTATACATGCTGAATAAATAATAGCATTACTTGGAAAAATTTAGTTAGAAGAAACAATGATGGAAAACAGGGTATAGGTCTTATGTTGCATTCTTAGAAATTAGTTTTGGGGGCTTCCTAAACTTGTCCATTGTAAACAAAGCCCACAATTCTCAACCCCAGTCTAGGCCCATTATTTCAAATAAATAAATAAATACACCCCCCCCCCCCCCACACACACACACACACTTTGGTAGCCTACATCTTAGGTACAAGAAATGAAGCCAGCAGGGGGTAAAATGTCCTCTGTGGTGGAGGTTAATAAGCAATACTCCTGTCACTTCCTTCTCAAAGTCAGCAGGAAGGAAATATATCCACCAGGGGCCTCTGCTAATTTGTTTCTAATTCAAGGACAATTAGGCAATTCCTACATCCCCCACCCCCAAGAAAAGCTGCGATGACTACATGACTCTTCTCAGGATTCAACAAAGTGGTAACTCTCTAGAAACAACAGAGGTTATGAAATGAACTTTGTATAACTTCGAGGGACACGTAATAAACAGCGCACCGGTTTTAGATGCCAGCCAGTAACTGCCTTCATTCTGTTTTACACCGTTTCCTTTCTCTGAATTGTTTTCTACCCCAAAGTTCAAACTACTTGTACTGGAAATGCCTCTGAGCTGAAGAGCTTCTCCAGTCGTGCCAGTAAAGACTCTCTTCCTATGATCTTGAGGTCAAGAAATAACGTTCTGGACAAGGAAAGAAATAAGCAAAAGCCCTGGTGACTCTGCTCCTTCCTCTCCAGGTACTGAGAAAGAAGAAATGAAAGGGAAAAGAAGCAACACTAACTCTCCTTCTCGTCCTCATTTCTAGACTGGCAGGTGGCTTTTGCCTTTCAACTTCTTAGAGCACCAAGGGGCCTGGGCAGGGGGCCGGCCCCAGTTAGAGGGTTGCGTATTTATCAGAGGGATGTAAACCGCTCAGGAGGGGGCGTGGCCCGGGCGGAGCCCCCTGGCCCGGGTGGGCGGGGCGGGGGTGGGGATCCCGGCGGCTCAGCACCGTGTGGGAAAGACCTGAGCTCTGGAGCTAGCGCCTGTCTCTTTAAATGCCACGGGCTGCGCTCCCGCCCGGGAGCCGGGAGCCGGATCTACAATCCGTCCCTCCCGCTCCGGCGCTTGTTGCTCGCGCGGCCCGAGCGGGAGCTACCGCCGCCGGGAAGCGAGGCTGCCTCCTTCTCCTCGCGCCCCACGTCCCTCGAGAGCTGGCTGAGAGCGGGCAGCAGGGCCTGCGGGAGGGAGGGGGCGCGGTGTGAACAGGAATTGCCCCCCACCTTCAAGTCTTGGGGCGCCACGCAGCCGCGGGAAGACATGCTTCTCTACCCCCTGCCCAGCGTCGCTGCCGCCGGTGCTGGGCGAGGAGGGACTGCGGAGCCCACACCCGCAAACTCGTCCTAGAAGTCTCGGGGTGCGGTAGGGGGCCCCTCCCAATTTCCCTCGGCTTCCACCTCTCTGCGGGTGAGTTAGCGCGGGTAACCCGAAGCCGAAGCCGAGGGCGGGCTAGCGCGGGGGAGGGGAAAGGCGCCCGAGGAGGAAGCGCCGCAGGTGAGCCAGGTGGGGAGGCTCACCTGCCCGGGCCGCGCTGCGGAATCCTCGCTTGTTCCCCGGGGAGGAAGGCGTTGAGGGACGTCTCCGGGGCCAGTTAGGGCCTGCAGTGGGAGTGGGAGTTGGAAAGGGGAGATTGGAGTAAAGTTTCTATTTCCTTCTTCCCTCCTGCCTGGGCTTGGCAGGTAGGGCGCGGGCGGAAGCGGCAAGAGCCACTGATGCAATGGCTTTTGCCCCGACCAGGTGAATGCTGGTGGCGGGGGAGAGCTGGAGTTGCCTTATCTCTTGTTATCTCGACCTTAGAGGGGGAGAAAGGCGCGCTACGATCGAGACTCTCCTAAAATGGCCCCAGGTGCTCGGTCTCCTCTCTTTTCTCTTAACAAAATGTCCTTTACTTGGAGGGACTCTTACAGATATGGCTTTCTCTTCCAACAGGTGGCCGCAGCCCCTGTCCGGGGACCTGTGCCAATGACCCTAGTGGCGGTTTCGCTTTCTCCCCTCGCGGCGGTGTGAACGTGTGTCCACAGCGTGATGGGCAACCAGGTGGAGAAACTGACCCACCTAAGTTACAAGGAAGTTCCAACGGCCGACCCTACTGGTGTGGACCGGGACGACGGTCCCCGCATCGGTGTCTCTTATATCTTTTCCAATGACGACGAGGACGTGGAGCCACAGCCACCGCCCCAAGGGCCGGATGGCGGTGGTTTGCCTGACTGTGGGGAGCGGCCGCCGCTACCCCCGCCGCAGCCTTACGACCCGCGGCTACACGAGGTAGAGTGCTCAGTGTTCTATCGCGACGAGTGCATCTACCAGAAAAGCTTTGCGCCGGGCTCGGCGGCGCTGAGCACTTACACACCGGAGAACCTGCTCAACAAGTGCAATCCAGGCGACCTGGTGGAGTTTGTGTCTCAGGCGCAGTACCCGCACTGGGCGGTATACGTGGGCAACTTCCAGGTGGTCCACCTGCACCGGCTGGAGGTGAGCAACAGCTTTCTGACTGACGCGAGCCAGGGCCGACGCGGCCGTGTGGTCAACGATCTGTACCGCTACAAGCCTCTGAGCCCCAGTACCGTGGTGCGCAACGCGCTGGCGCACGTGGGCGCCAAGGAGCGCGAGCTCAGCTGGCGCAACTCAGAGAGCTTTGCCGCCTGGTGCCGCTATGGCAAGCGCGAGTTCAAGATCGGCGGCGAGCTGCGCATTGGCAAGCAGCCCTACCGCTTGCAGATTCAGCTCTCGGCTCAGCGCAGCCACACTCTGGAGTTCCAGAGCCTGGAGGACTTGATCATGGAGAAGCGGCGTAACGACCAGATTGGACGCGCGGCGGTACTGCAGGAGCTCGCCATGCACCTGCACCCAGCGGAGCCGGATGAGGGCGACAGCGATGCGGCGCGGACTACGCCGCCTCCCAGGCCCACCCCTTCACCAGGCTTGGAGGGGGAGGATGGAGAGGCAGTGGCACACTGACGGGCGAGTGGAGGGCAGCGCTGCAAAAGGGAGCTATTTGCAGTAGCTGCTGCCCCTTTTCATCTCCTCTTCCTCCCTTCCTCCCTCCTTCCTCTGCCGCCACTTGGGCCCCACTGGGATTCCTGGGCCCTTTGGAAAATGGAGAGTTGGAGAAATACGCAGCCGGCTGTGAACAGGGAAGGAGGAAGGGAACAGAGGGAGCAGGTAGGAGTACTTTTGAGTGGATAGTATTTCCTTCCAGGCCCCCTCAGGCTTGTCTTCCTTTCTGTTGTGGGATGAACTGAACGATAAGACTTGCTTAATCTGGGTTCAGAATCGACCCTTAAACACGCAAGGTTGGAGAAAAGTTCAGAGTACCTATCAGAGCCCTGCCATTGCCTCTGCTTTCCCGTCTACACTGAGCTCGGAGCATGCCTGGTACAAAGGCCAGAGGGGGGTTGGGGAGGCGCCACCATGGCCAGCGCCTAGAGCTGCTTTTCATCTTCCCCCGCTGAGCTGTGAGTGGGATCCAGAAGGCTGGTGTGATTTATTTTATGGGATTCCTGGGGCGCTAGGCTGGTGAAACCATGACGTGGTCTGTGACCATCAGACCAAAACCAAGCATCCCCCTATTAAGTGTAACAAATAGTTGAACAAACTACCTCCCTTCTCCATCCTCAAGTAATTCGTCTTCCGGAGCTTAGTCTCTTGCTCCACCCGCCCCTTTCCAGGTTACAAGTAAATCATTGTCAAGGGCCAGTCAGGGGAAGGATTCAATTAAGGTTCAGTTCTGCGCCTTTGTTTTTCTGCCTGCTGTTGTAGGCACTTAGAGCTGCAGTTATTTGTTAGCAAAGGAGAGAATAGCCCTTTGTGTCTGTGATCTAATTAAACCTGCTTTTGCTGGTCCACAGGTCACAGATGGGGTTGGCTTGTGCCACCCCATAAAGTATCCACTAGGGAAGCAGCTGAACGGTGCTGCCCTGGCAAGAATTAGTTAATTTCCTCTTTGACTTCCTTCCTGCCCTTTCAAAAATAGCTTTGGTGGTGATCCTGTGATTTTTCTTCCTTTTTAAAAAATTTTCCTCTCACTGGCCCATCTCCCTCACCTTCTCTCCTGTTCTGCTGCTGGTGGTAAAATCTTGGGCTTGAGACCTGTTTCATTAGGAGGATACTTATTTTGCCAGCCACACTTGATGCATTTTAATTCAAGGGGCAAAGTCTTATTAATACTGCGACAGTCTCCTTGTTGCTTGGAGAGCACCCCTTCAGAGCCTTTGCAGTTAAGAGGGGTGACCTCCATTACAGATGCCACCTGGTGTAGTCAGCACAGAATCTGATGACAGCCCTAAAACATAGGTTGGTAGCTATGGCACCTGGTAGTGGCAGCCTAACAGCTGGAATAGAGCCCTACTTGAGTAATCCACAACCACCTTTTCATCCTTGGGCTTTTTGCTTGGAGAGCTCTAAATCAAGGCAGTGAGACTTAAGGATTTTCTTGTCTGCTTCCTTTTTTCAGACATAGAAGTTGAGGCCATAATTTTTAAATGCCCAGATCTTCTTATATCCCACCATGAAACCTTTCTGTCATAGGGCATTAGCTATGCTCCTAATTTAACAATGATCACCAAACAGGTCCTGTTCCTTTGATTGTTAAAAGTGAACCACACTCTAGCCCTGCTGGACTTTGAAGGAAAACCAGTCTCCCTTGGAAATGGAGGTCTAGTTTTCATGTTTAATACTCACAGCTTTGCATTCATATTCTCTCGCTCATGGAAGAGCAGTACAAGTTAAAATTGGGTGAAGACATTTAGGAGAATTTATATCTAACAGATGGGAGGACCACTGTCCAGGTGGTAGGAAATAAAAGAAAAAGTTGTCACTGCCCCACAACTCTGGGCTAGAGAACACCCCCTCCACCTCCGTCTGCTGGTCACACTGAGTGTAGCAGTGAGTGTGTTTTGTTCAAAATGAGATGCCTTGAAAGTCTCAACTTGAAGGAAAAGCGCCTATAAAACCCACTGAGCTACTGTGTGCTCAGTTAAGGAGCAGACCACTCCAAGAAGAGGCTTTTGATAATGGCTTGAAAATGGACTAGAATAGGAAATAGATCTGTGCCAGATGATCCTTCCTGGAACATAGTGCCAGTGTTTCTACGGGGCACCAGAGATGCTAAATGTGTAATACTTAGGAATAGGGGATTCCACTGGAAATTTTTTTAGGCGTATAATGCTTAAAGAAAAGCCACAACCAACTGGTGAAGGCTCCAAGAAAGAGGGTCAGATCAACTCTTGGTTCTTAAGATGGCAGTGTTGTGGAGAAGTGATTCTTTTTTTTTTTTTTTTTTTTTAATGCCCTGGCAATGGCTACATCTGGCACTTTAGAAAAAAATACATATATATATTTAATAATTTTTGTTTCTCCTTAGGAATAAGACTTTAAAACTATTTTGTACTGTGAATTACGGATGCTCTTTGAAGGAAAGAAATATCGATTCCAATATTCCTCAGAAGCTCTGGCAGGGATAAGCAGGACATCGACTGGAACGTAGGCTAAATGAAACCAGACAAATTCTATTTTCTTACCTGAGCAAATATTTTATTGAGACTGCTTATGTGTGTCAAAGAAGCCCACAACTTCAGCTACACAACTTTTTATATTAAAAGAACTCATAGTTTTTGTAGCTTTTATTCCACATTTAATTTAAAATGACTTTGTAGCACTAAAATGCCTAGCAGAAGACTTTATTCCAGACCTTTAAGAAAATTTTTAGTTTTTATGAGGAAAAACACTTCAGTGGTTATACTTCTTGTGTCCCTGGTGCTTCGGGCCCTAATAGCACCATTGGACCACATGACAACCACATGGAACATATTTTTTGGAAGCAAAACTTTTAATTTTATATGACATATGCTATGGAGAGCTAAGAAAATTTAAGGACTATTTTGTTTTGTTTTGTTTTCCTTAACACTGAGATTCACTGTGTTGAAGACTCTTGATATTATGTGCTTGTCTAACCATTTTTTACAAATTAGAATACAATCTTGTGTGATCACAGTCGTAAGATTTGTTTGGAAAGTTAGATTTTACTTGTGAATTTTTTTTTTTTTTTTTTTTTAATCAGGATAACTCTAACTTGACTGGTTTATTCAATTTTTCATTATGTTGTTTTGTTCTTGTGAGCCATGGAGAATTACACTAACAGGATGAACTTCTTATGCATTTTATTTCCCAGTAAACTGTATAAACCTTATTTTTTGTTGAAGGTTTTATGTTAAATCAATGTTATGTTCTTATACCACTTCTTGAGAAGGAAGTTCCAATTTGAAATTGTATCATTTCCTTCAAAATGAAGGGCAGTGCTTAGTTAAATAAAAGATTGATGATATCTTTTAAGCCATTTCCTCTTCACTCTGTCTTATTAAAATAAAACCCATCAAGTTCTTTTGAAAAATGCTTGAGGTTTTCTAATAAGCCATCTATTAGGGAACACTGAATTCATATATTTTTCCACTTGTATATTGTACTATTTTCTGATATTTTTGATCCAAGCTCAAGCTATTGAGCTTACTATAGTTTCTCAGAATGTTAATATGTATCATCTTTGCATTGCTTAGTAAACATTTTGATGAATTCATTTAGTTACTCAAAACCTTGCATTTATGGTGTGAGAATTAATCACCCATTGCTTTTAAGCTATCGGTCATGAAAAACATCTTATAAACATAGATTCTCAATACACATTGATTTTCAGAATCAATGCAAAAATTGCTAGAAACTATGTTCTCATTGTGGAGTCTACACCAAGAAGTTAAGCTGTTCGGTAACCCATGTTGTGTCATGGGTAGGTGGTTTGAGTGCCAGTTAAAAGGAGCATGCTCACCACATGATTTGATTACAGCAATGGGCAGATGTGATCACATGGTGCTGTCGGCATGATAAGCAGCAATGCAGTTGCCAGCAGTTGGTAGGGGGAAGATGTGGAACCCCAGAGGCCTTAGCACACCCTATGCCAGTGGCTGAAGCCACCATAATCCCAAGAGTTTTCAAATACCTGGGCTTTGTCAACAAGCTTCTATGAGGATCTTAAATAAGGAAGTTGAATGCTGAAGGTTATAGGAAACTCGAGCAGTAATGAAGTCATTTTGAAAGCCCCGGTGTGGGAGTCTAATTTGTCATTGGCCTCATTGCGGAAGCAGAGGAAGGAGAACCTAAGAAGACTGTGCATTTATTCTTGGGTGGTTTTGGTGGAGACTGCTGTGCCTATTTTTTCTAAGGGGACTGAGCTTGCTTAATGTAGGAAAATGATATGTTCCAAAGCATTTAAAAGGGTCTGAAAAATGAACAGACCCACAATATGTGCAGAGGGCTTTTCCTTTTACTGAATTTACCAGGAAAACTGCCTATTAAACAAATACAGCAATTTTATCTGTAGAATAAATGCAAAAGCTGGCTTGTTTCTGCATCTGCTCTTGCAATAAGTATGACAGGTGGGTGGATGCTGAGCCCCAACCTAGTATCCATCTGAAATAACATCAGATTCTCCAAGGAAGAGTGATATTAAGAATAGTCCAGCATAGTGGGATATGGGTGCCGGAGTGAACTATGAGCGTATGCAGAGGCTGAGGCAAGGGAAAGTTTTTGAAGATAAAAATGAGAAGGATCACAACAGATATTTTTAAATAATCCTTGGCCACAAAGATTAACAAGGAGAGTGGTGTCGGTCAGGTTGAACTGGCAATAGCCAGGCAGGTGTCCTTGTAGAATTACTTTTTGTCCAAGGTCATGATGGACTCTGCAAGCTAGTGGTTCCAGCAGAGTCTTTTGCAATAGTTATATCAAGCAATCACATGTAAGGACCCTTCCTTCATAACCTCCCTATTTCATTTATCCATCAATTTTTGGTATTAGGGATTGAACCCAGGGGCACTGTACCACTGAGTTATACCCTTAAATACTTTAATTTTTTTTTTTTTTTTTTTTTTTTGAGACAGGTTCTCACTAATTTCCTGAGGCTGGCCTTGAATTTGTGATTCTCAAATCTCAGCCTCCTAAGTGGCTAAAATTATAGGCATGTACCACCATGCCTGGCCCAGCTTCATTTTTTAAAAAAACATTTCTGAAATTCTAACAACTTTCTCATTTTTTTTTTCACACTAGGAACTAGAACATAGAGGTTTTAATTTTTTTTTTTTTTTTTTTTTAGAAGTGATCCTGCCCCTGAGCTTGTTTCTAAGGAAAGAAAAATCAACTGGGCACAGTGGCACACACCTGTAATCCCAGCAGCTCAGGAGGCTGAGACAGGAGGATTGTGAGTTCAAAGCCAACCTCAGCGATTTAGCAAGGCCCTGAGCAACTCAGTAAGACCCTGTCTCTAAATAAAATATCAAAAGGGCTGGGGATGTGGCTCAGTGGTAAGTGCCCCTGAGTTCAATCCCCAGTACCCCCCCTCAAAAAAAAAACCAACTTCACTCTCATATTTAGTACAGATTATAATAAATGGAGGCCCTGTTAAGTGCTGATGAATAGGTATACAAATAAAGCAGATGTGTGTGTAAGTTTAATTGGAGTTTGAAAACTGGTGGTAGATGAGCACGTGGAGTGTGTAGTCCTATTGAAATCAGACCAGAGACATGCAGGGAGAGGCAACTGGTGATGAGGGAGAAAATGATATCACTAATATTCACTCAGTACTTAACTGGGAGGCTCCTCAATTCCCAGGGCCTAATATGCAAAGATGGACTAGATCCCTAGTTTCTGTCTTTATGTCATTTCCATTCTAATCACTAATCACCAAAAAGAAATTCACAAGAAGGTATTCAGTTATCTCCCAGGTGAGATAGATGCAATGGAGGAAATATGCAAGGTGTGTGGGAGAGGATTTCTCTAATGGTGAGTCAGAGGAGCCTACTCTGAGGTTGTAGTATTTATGTGGAGCCTTGGGAAGGTGGAGGAGAAAGCCAGTTGCTTTGGAATGGTCTCTGATTACATTAAGCAAGGGAGGAAGTCTGGGGAGGAAATCTATGAAGCTCAAGTGCTCCCCAGATGCTTTTGCTTTAGCTACTGGTGCTCATTCATCTCTCCCCTGGGCTTCCTTGCACAACCTGTCCAGCTTGTTTCATGTGTCTTCAATGCTTAACAAAGAAGCAGGCAGAAACCATCACTAGAATTTGAGTGAATGCATTTGGGGTTGAGCTTTGCTTGACTTGGAGGTTCCTAGATATCTCAAGGTTGCTGTGACAGTGATTTGAAGGGGATGAACACAGCAGTGGTTTTCAGGATGCATTAAACAGGGACAGCTGGGAAGGACTCTGTCCTCTCTGCCCTGAGCACTGCTGGTTGTCCTGCTAATGCTTTTTTGGCTTGAAGTTACCAACCAGGTTAGGAGGTGGAGTGAGAGTTCAGGCCTTTGCCCAACACAGGTGAGTGGACAGGTGGCATTAGCAGACTGGATGGGAAGAGCATTAAAACAGCAAGAGCTTTTACAGCCTTGAAACTGTAATTGGTGATTCAGCTGGCAAGCCACTGCTGTCATACAGTGTGCAGTGCCGGGTCAAGTGTGGCCACCATCATCATCTGTATGGTGCTGGGGATTGAACCCAGGTTCTTGTGCACACAAGGCAAGCATTCTACTAATTGAGCTATACTTCAAGTTGACTTGAACGATGTGGTCAACTCCCAGGGTCTGGTTATCTTGCTATTCAGTGAGTTCTTTTTGCTCTCACAACTGAGAGGGTTTTCAGTTACAACTAAACTGTAGATACACAGGTACACAGTAAGCAATAGTAACTAGAGCTTTGTAGTCAAAAGTCCTGAGTTTCTCTGCTCCAGCCTCTGCTGATTCGTAGGCTGGGAACCTTGGGAGCAGTTACCTACTCTCTCGGAAACTGTTTCCTCCTCTGTACAATGTACTTGTGACACCAGTCAGTTCACTTAACTCTCTAAACTTCAGTTGTTTTTGTAAAATAATTCTATATTTAGCATTTCATATTAACATAAACCAACGTAAGCATTAATATGTAATAAAATAATGGTACCATATGAGCTTTAAAGGGGGGTTGTGAGGACAAAATAAAACAATGCTTTTGAGACCCAAATGAATAACCATTATGATTAGCTTGGAAAATCTTTGGTCATATATATGTTCAAAAGTCTTTTATTATCATCATCATCATCATCATCATGTATATGGTGCTGGGGATTGAACCCAGGTTCTTGTGCACACAAGGCAAGCATTCTACTAATTGAGCTATACCTCCAGCCCTCAAAAGCCTTTTTTTTTGCCATCAGGGTGATGCTCACCTGTAATCCCAGTGATTCCAGGGGCTGAGGCAGAAGATTGCAAGTTCAAGGCCAGCCTCAGGGACTTAGGGAGACACTGTCTCAAAATAAAATAAAAAAGGACTGGATGTGTAGCTCATTGGTAGAGCACTGCTGGGTTCAATCTCCACACAGAAATACCCTATCTAAATAAAGATACTGTCTAGGAGAGGGAGATTTTCCCTTTGGTCTTGCAGACTTTCTTACCTAGCTACAAGAAATTGGTAAAATATGAAAGAGATGATTCTCATTTCTGTGTTACCTGACCTCCAACTGTTGTTTAGCAGGTGTCATAGTGTTTGAAATGTTTGTCGAGCCTTGATCTTTCGTAGATGAACCATTACCTTTGTTTGCACATTTTATTATGTTTACTCATTAATCCAATACCTATTTACTGAGAATGTTTAAGGCACTAGGTGCTAGATGGTCCCGGAAGGATAAGAAAGGATTTTACAGTGATGACATTAACAGGTAGGATGTCCCCTTGCCCATACTGTTCTGTTTTAGTCATAATCTCAGACTTTCTGGACAGATCCTAATATTATCTTCATTTTATAGTTGAGTAAGCAGGTTTAGAGAAATTGTCTGATGTCACAAAGCTAATAAATGACAGTTTCTGGCTGAAACAGGAATTGTCTCCAAAACCCCAGGCTGCTGTTCCTCCACTGGAAGATGCCCCATCACCCCCTCCCAGCCCTTCTCCTCATCCCGTGGAGAAAACTCTTCTGCTCCCACATTCCTGCTTGCAATGTTACTTGAATAGCATTGCTATGTCACTCTTATGGTAGCACCCCGGAGTCAAGACTGGAAGAGAGATGAGCAGGAACAGAAGGGAGGCAACTTGGCCAAACGGGATTTTAGGTTCTTATCAAGATAACAGACCTGAGGGGAAGAGGGACCATCCCAGAATTACCCCTCCCTCCCTGTGGCTGAGCATTTAGTGACAGCTCCTCCTCCATCACCTCCATCCATCCATCTCCCCTTTAGTGACTTTTTCCCCCACACCAACAGGTGGAGGTCAGGTAACACAGGCCTCCTCATGTCCTGGCTCCAGCCTTTGACCTGCTCTGTGACTGTGGC